CATCATTTTCCCACTTAAATAAGTCCCTTCAGCATTTCTTGTAGAACTGGTTTCTTGGTGATAAACTCCTTTAATTTTTGCTTTTCTGGGAAGCTCTTTGTCTCTCCTTCCATTCTGAATGACAACCTTGATGGATATAGTGTTCTTGACTGTAGGTTTTTTCCTTTTAGCACTTTAAATATATCATGCTATTCTCTTCTCGCCTGTAGGGTTTTGGCTGAGAAATCCACTGATAGCCTTAAGGACTTTCCTTTGTGTGTCACTTGTTGCCTTTCTCTTCCTGCTTTTAGGATTGTCTCTTTATCTTTAATTTTGGACATTTTAATTATAATCTGTCTTGGTGGACACCTCTTTGAGTTTACCTTGTTTGGAGCTCTCTGTGCTTCCTGTGCTTGGATGTCTGTTTCCTTCCTTAGGTTAGGAAAATTTTCAGCTATTATTTCTTCAAATAGATTTTCTGCCCCTTTCTCTCCCTCTTCTCCTTCTTGGACACCTATAATAAGAATGTTAGTGCCCTTGATACTGTCCCAGAGTTCCCTTGGACTGTTCTCATTCAGTCTAATTCTTTTTTCTTTTATCTGTTCAGCTTGGGTCATTTCCTCTAGTCTTTCATCTAGCTTGCTGATCCATTCTTCTGTATTGTTGACTCTGCTATTGAGTCTCTCTAGTGATTTTTTCATTTCCAGTATTGTATACTTCATTTCTGATTGGTTCTTTTTTATATTTTCCAGTTCTTTGTTGATGGGCTCACTGTGTTCATCCAGTCTTCTCCCAATATCTGCGAGCATCATTATGAGTTTTTGTTTGAACTGCTTGTCAGGTAGGTTGCTTATTTCTGTTTCATTTAGTCCTTTTTCTGGGGTTTTGTCCTGTTCCCTCTCTTGGAATGTATTCCTTTGTCTCCTCATTATGCCTCTTTCTCTGTGCTTATATTTATGCATTTGGTGAGTCAGCTATGTCTCCTGATTTTTGAGAAGTGGCATTGTATAAGAGATGCCTTTTGAGGCCCAGCTGTGTGCTTCCCTCTTGTCACCAGTCCAAATGATCCAGGAGTGACCCCTTTGTGGGCTACTTGTGTCCTTCTTCTGTGGCAGGGCTGCTCTTAATGCAGGTACCCAGGGAGTCTAGTCTTTCCTTCCCTGGCCATGCTGATGTTCTCATGTCTCATACCCTGGATCTTGCTCCACCCACTTTCCCAGTACCTCTATCAAGAAGTCTTTCTTAGTTCAACTGTTTAGGAGAGTTATATTCTCATGCCATTGGGAATTTTACTCCTCACTTTACATTTTCATCTGGCCCTCTTAGGAGCACATTCCAGGGGGAAAAGTAGAAGTGAATGAGATATTGAATCAATCATTGCATTGACCTGAGCCATTTTACTCTGCAGTAATAGCAATTCTAAGAATTAAATTTTGTTTTTGAATTAAGATAATTCTTTCATTTCCTCCAGAAAATCAATTTGCTTCCAAAATTTGATTTTTTTATATTGGGATGATCATGCATCTGGATGAAAAGAGCATGGAGAAAGAGAATGTGAGAGACAGAAAAAGAAAGATGAGGGCAGGAGGGAAGAAGAGAGAGATTAGGTTTCAAGTAGATGAGATGTAATCTTCTCAGAATGTCTGATACAGCCTCCTCCTTATACAAATCTCCATTTTCTGAAGTCCTGCACTGTATCTTTATACTATAACTTTACAGCATCATTTGATTTTCATTATGAAAATACACTTTCATGTATATGTATTCATTTTATCTCTCAAGAAAGTCAACCCAATAATCTCCGGTAACTTTCCTCAGATCATGTAGATGGTTAGTGATATAAAACTTCCATTGTCAGGACCACAAACTTATCTTCATTTTTATGACCATCTTTATTTTCTTCATCATTGTCATTATCACATTTCTTAAACATTTAAATGTATGAATAAAACTCTTAAATTTCTTGTCGGCCTATGAAATCACTATGTTTTTTATTCATTCTCTGATTTAATGTATTTTTGAAAGAAGAAAGGAAATGCTCTTCTTGTTTGTCACAGTTCTATATTGTCTTAGTTTATGTTCAATTCTTTGAGTCTACCACTCAGTTTTTGTACTGCATTGATAGAAAATTAGCTTAACTGTGGACACCATTAAGGAAGACACTTTCAGAGTTTATGAAGTCATAGGATAAGACAAACATTTGCCTAGAGCACCAAGTCCTCTTTAACTTTATAAAAGGTAAGAAGTAAGCAAAACAATGTTCATTATGGAAAATGTCCTCAACCCACAAAACTCTTAGGATCCTCTGCCACATGGCTTAAGATCCAAACATAATCCTTCTACTAAGACACTTTTATTGTATTTATCCCTCAGTAATCAATGAAACCATAAACATTCAATTTCATGAAGCATATCTGGTACATCCTCTTCTATAATTATTTCAATTTCTTAGAGCTTTGTAAGTATTTGCTGAGGTAATGAATGAATGATCAATGAAAATAGTTCTTTTTCCAGAGTCTGGAATTTGTTGAGTAGAAAGAACTTACCCAGAAGACCTTGTAGCAGAGATCTTGTTCTCCATGGACTTAATTCTAGAGCGTGATATCTAGACACATGTGAGCCTCATGAAAAGTTAACTTACTTTAGCAGCAATATAATTTATTTCCCTACTTTAATCACTCTTTTTCCTCATTCTTCTCTCATCTTCTGTGCCCTACTGAACATAATTTTCTACCAGGGTGCCAAAGGTGTCTGAAGTAATATGAATAAGCATTCATAATGTCAGACTCTTCAAACAGTGTCCTGTTTAATGGAGGTAAACTAAACAAGAAGGTGCAAAATGAATCTCATCTTTCCTCACTTGTCTCCAGTACTGACATGACTTTTTGGGCACAGTCAGTGATAGAAGCAGTAATTTGCAATTTCTGAGACCATATCTTTTCTTATTTTCAAAGTGCCTGCATTGAATTGCCTGTTGCCAACTCAACATCACATAGGACTTTCTTAGTTCTTCTCTAAGTGCAGTGGACAATGTGGATGCCATTTCCCAGAGTCCCCTTCCCTGTATGGAATTTAGTTTGCCCATGACAGGACTTGTGCAAAATTTGGAAGTTCAAAGAGAAGCAGAGGCTATTATTCTCCAGACGTGTTTGTAGTCAGGCTGCTGAGCAGGGGCAAGATCCATAATGAATTCTCCATATGTGAGAACTACCCCCTTTACTACTAAGACTATTGGTAGATGCTCTCTCAGAAATTACTAAGAGTTACTGCTGTTTCCCTCAAGCTTTCCTGAACCATCCACTAAGTCTTCAACCTGCGGTATTACTTTCCTCAATAGTATACCCAGTGTTCAAACATTGTTCTCCTGCTCTTCAAAAGTAGGTTGAGTCATGGAGCATATTGTGTTTTTTCAAAAATGTAGAAGGAGTTAATTTGGAATTGAGATGGGCTCCTAAAATATGCAGCAAAATGTTCAATGGTGTTCCTCCACATATATACCTCTTTTTGTCCTCTGGGGACAATCCATGTTACTCCAACTGCCTTGGAGAATAGGAAGTGAAGATTAGAGTCACCAAGACATTGAGGAACACCTCCTTCCCATCAATTTCCCTTTGGAAGACAGCTTATTTCAAAGGGCATTATGGGATGATAGAGGCTTTCAGCAATTGGCATTTTAGAATATCGTATGTACTGTCTTTTCGCACTGGTAGAAGTAAAGGATTCACTGTTGGAGAGAGTTTCCTCAGAGAACAAGAATGCAAATGTGTGGAAATAGGACAGGGAAAGCAAGCTGTGACAAAAAGACAACAGAGATTCTGCTAAATCACATCAGCAAAAAGAATGAACTGAAGATGCATGCAATAGCAGATGTAAACCTCAAAATCAGTATGTTGAGGAAGTGGAGACTGAAACAAAGTTCATGCTTTGTGGTTTCTCTTATAAGGTATTCCAGAAAAGGCAAGACTCATGCCTAAGGACTGAAAGAACTTCAGTGGGTACGTGCATCCAGTAGCGGCAGAGGAGGGAGGATGACCAGGAAGGGGCACCGGGATTATCCAGCGTGATGTAACATGCTCTATCTTTATGGTTACTAGGGTGTCACTGTTTGTCCAAATCCACTGGTTTAAAATGATTATATGCACTTTTATATGAGGTACACAATAAATTTGATTAAATCAAACATCCATAATGGATCAGAACATTTTTAACGTACAAATGTTTTAAAATGAATGAAATGATCCCAAAACCCAGTTTTAAGTAAGTTATACCTTGAATTTCTTCCATGAGTTACTATCATTTCTGGGCCTAAGACTATAACGTAATATAGGCAATTTTAACCAAAACCTGCAGTTCAATTATTTCTACACAAAACAATAACTGATAATGTTTACAAGTACCATATAGGTAACCATTATAACTCTCCAGGTGAAAATTATTTAGCAGAATCTCAGTTACTTTGTACATTTTATAACTCTGTTTATAGCAACTATGAAACTTTTATTTCTTTATTCTTCTTTCAAGGTTAAGCATAAATGGTGATTTCTCTCGAAAGGCCGCTTTGATCTTTAAAATTAATCAGATTTCTATCTCTTTTTCATTTCAAGTACAGTTACAAGATATAATAATGATCACGCTTTGAATGTCTCCCTCACAGTGTTAGCACACCAAAATTCTTAGGAGCAGATGCAATGGTTATCAATTGGCACATATGTTGAGAAAATTAACTAAGTATATCCAGCAAGGTTCATTTCTAGAAAGCATTTGGTCCACACATGAAAGTATCATTTATGAAAAGAGATATTTCTAGTCAAAGATGGAATTTAAGATTCTGGATTGAAGAAGGTAGTTTACTAATAAGGAGTACAAAGATTTACTCAGAAATAAGAACAGACAGAGTGAACAGACCAAGAAGACTTGGTAAAGCTAATACGACACAGATCACTGACGGGAGAAATGGCATAGACATGAATAAGGAATTGAAAGTTGCATTCAACTTTTTTCATTCATCTTTCAACAATGTATTATTTATATCCAAATTTTGTGTCATTGTTTTGAAAATAACAAAACCTTTGAAGCATATCCTTGAGAGCTTCTTTCACCTGCTGATTCCTTAGGGTGTAAATGAAGGGGTTTAGTAAAGGAGCAACAGAGGTGTTGAGTACAGCTACACCTTTAGTTAAAGCCACTCTTTCCTTTGCTGATGGTTTCATATACATAAACATACAGCTACCGTAAGTAATAGAGACAACAACCATGTGTGAGGAACAGGTGGAAAAGGCCTTTGCTCGTTGTTGAACAGATGGGAATTTTAGAATGGTTTTGATGATGTATGTGTAAGACAGACTCACTAACAACAAAGTGACCACAAGTGTCACGACAGCTAAGATAAAAGCCATAAGTTCTATGAAACGTGTATCTGTGCAAGAGAGCTGCAGGATAGGAGAAGTGTCACAGAGGAAGTGATTAATAGTTTTGGAAGCACAGAAATCCAGCTTGAGTCCCAAGACCAAAGGGGGAAATATGATGAGGAAGCCAGTTACCCAGGAGCTGAGTACAAGCTGATAGCACATTTTACTGTTCATAATGATTGGGTAATGCAAGGGTTTGCAGATGGCAACATATCGGTCATAGGACACGGCAGCCAAAAGGTAAAACTCTGTAACGCCTAACAAAAGAAAGAAAAATAACTGAGTTGCACAACCATTGTAGGAAATTGTTTTGTTTCCAGTTAGAATGCTTATCAAGAATCGTGGAATGCATATGGTTGTGAATGAAACCTCTAAGAAGGAAAAATTTCGAAGGAAGAAATACATTGGTGTCTTGAGATGAGGATCCAGCATGGTGAGAAGGATGATGATTAAGTTCCCCATCAGACTCAAGATGTAGTTGAAGAACAGAAACAGGAAAATCACAATTTGCAAGAGAGGGTCATTTGTCAGTCCAAGCAGAATGAACTCTATTTCCATTGATTTGTTCATTTCGTTTTTTTCTATCAAAGCTAGAGAAAACAAAAATTAAATTGCATAAAAACCTTAATAACTTCATTCTCAGTCATAGAATGTCCCATGTTCAGAAACTTACCTATGTGTAAATATTGTCACAAATCTCCTTTGTGTTCATCAAAATGGGTATGGCCTCTAATGTCGGTCGTTTTTATAAAAATGCTGAGTTTCTTTCCTTGACAAGATCTAAATAAGTCCTCTTTACCACTTCACAGGGAACTTATCAGTCACTTGAAATTTACCTCCACATTTACTTTTTTTCCCCTTTTTTGAAATCTTTACTTTTACTTTTCTTTTCCTTACCTTAATAGGATAAATAGTTCATTTTTCATATTTTCTAAATTTAGCAAATATCTCAAGTAATTTTTATTCCATTTATTCATTACCCTGCTCCATTTCATATTTTTTTTCTGGTATCATTTTCTTTCGTTTTTTTAACTCTGTCTTCTTGCCTGTACACATACTTTAGGAGTGGCCTTTAGATTCAACATTTAGACAGTTCCCAGTAATCATTAACAATGCCTCAAATATGTATGACTTAGGGAAATAAAAAGAAAAAATAATATTGCTCTTCCTATATTTTAATCTTTCTTTTACCGTATTCATTTTATAATAATTTCACATTACTTTCTTTATGTATTACATAAGAAGATTACATTAAGAAGCTGTACCTTTTCATTTCAGTGTAAAATGATTTTGAGCACAATTACAGTTCTGTGTATGACTAGTGTTACAGCAACATTTCGTAGTTACTAATTGTAGTTTGTTTTTTGATAATTACATTCTTAGTAGAGCCAGTCTATTTTATCTTAGCTAATTTTCAGGATTGGGGGCAATATTCAAAAGGCTTTCTTTTTCTTTTTTGTCCCTTTTAAATATAAGCTGTAATAGAAAAAAATCAAATGGCATGTGTTTTCCATTTCTTTTCAATTAAACGTATTCAAACATATTCTTTTACTTTGCTTCATAACTTGATATTTTTCCTTCTTTGCACATTTTTTTTAAAGCTACTGAAACACCAGCATCTTTCTCTTAAATATACCTGAACACTTGCCACCAGTTTTAATCTGTCTATTGTTCATGAATAATATGGTAGTCATTGCATTCCAACATAAAATTATTTCTATTTGATTGTCTCTTTAATTTTTCCATTAATCACTTTCTTTGTGTTATATTAAAATATGGATCCACATTTTTCATACATCAGCTGTGAAATTTTTATGATGTGGTAGACCAAGTACAACTAGTAAAGACATTACCACTTTATTTCATTGCTTTTTCCTATTTTTCATAATCTTCCAAGTTTTAGTAAACACTGTGTCTGTGACCTTGAACTGGGTGGAAATGTGCTTGTTAGATTTCCTCAAGATGTAGAGAATAGCTGCTCTCTAATTTTCCTCCATGATTCACACAACGCAACTACAAGTTGATAGAGTCAAAGAAAATGAATTAGAGACACATTCATATTTTGTATATGTATATACATAGTAAAATTATATAGAATTTTTTACTTCTCTATCTAAAGGAACAGATGAAACAAGACAATCTAAAGAAAAATTTAATTCTCTTACTTGTACTTCCGAAATTTTTCTTTAACTTCTGCTTCAAAAAAAGACAAATTAAAATTAAAATTTGACTTACCTTACACAGGGTATACTGGGATTTCTTTTTTTGCTATGGTACAGGGTAAAATGTATGGACTAACTACATTAAGAGTGATGATGCTCATTTCAGGACATTATTCAATCATTAAAGGGATATAGAAAACCAAAGTTTTCTTCAGAAGGATTCAAATAAAAGAGAAAATGTGTTTTATTTATTTTTCAAAGTGTTTCCCAATTTTCAGCTAAGTTCACATTCACTATGCATCTCAGCATTCAGCTACTAAAGAACACTGATATATCAACATCATCCTTTCCAATTTGGGTAAATTTTCAGAGAGTTTTTCTTAATCTTTAACTGGAAGTGTTACATCAAAGATCAAAATCTAGGAAGAAATACATTGTTTAAGTACAGAAGTGTAGTATATCCCATGACTCTAACTAAGCTAAAATTTTATCTTTGATTCAACAAAGACACAAGGGAACCTATTGAAATTGGCAAACAAAGAAGATGGGTAAAATATTTCCCTAGAGATGGGCATTCAAACAGTACTACTTATGTGCAAAAAAAGAGTCCACTGAATTTTGTTTATTTTTTTAAAATCTGGAAAAAATGCAGTGAGAATATCAATTGTTTTATAGTTCTAATGCTATAAGGGAAAATCTGCTCATCTAATTTTCTTCAATTAGAAGATTTATCTTACTATTACTAAAGTAATGATAATAATAACAGGTCAATAGCAGACTTTAACATTACAAATAGATTCATTCTTAAAATGACAGTTTTAAGGGCTGGCCCTGGGGCCAAGTGGTTAAGTTCGTGTGCTTGGCTTTGGCGGCCCAGGGTTTCGCTGGTTCAGATTCTGGGCACGGAGATGGCACCACTCCTCAGGCCATGCTGAGGTGGTGTCCCACACAGCACAACTAGAAGGACCTACAACTAGAATATACAACTATGTACTATGGGGCTTTGGGGAGAAGTAGAAGACGAAAATGAAAAAAGAAGATTGGTAACAGATGTTGGCTTAGGTGTCAATCTTGAAAAAAAATGACAGTTTTAATTGTATATTACTGGAATAACACCTAAGATTTTTTTATTTTATTTTAAGAGAGTATTTCTTTTTGAAATACGGGAAACAAAACTGGTGGCACCTTTAGTTTGTAACATGAAAGCCTATTCAGGAGAACTTAGATACCTGAAACATTTGGACTGTAGTGATACAGAGATGCCTAAGAGTGAAAGGGCTTGGTTACATATATTATATCAGGGATCCTGCTCTAAAATATTATTAAACAAAGTCCCCTGTGACTTTTTCATGACCCCAAAAAAGTCATCAAAGGCAAATCAAAAGAGACTTCTTCTTGGCGTTTAAATATGAAGAAAAATTGCTTACAGCAATCCATTTTTAAGAAAGCTCCAGGTCTACTGTAGGAATTCACAGGGCTGAATGGCAGCCCCAGAACACTTTGCTCTTATACGAGAAAAACAATGTTAGGAAAAACTCCTTGAAAACACCTATCCTTTTTCAACTGATTTGTGTTTGAACTTTTATTAAAAATCAGTTTTCCATACTGGTGTTGTCTATTTCTGGACTCTGTTCTATTTTATTGATCTGTGTATCTACTTCAAGAGAATGTTACCCTGCATTGATTACTGTAGCTGTATAGTAAATATTTAAACGAGGTAGTGTTAGTCTTCCAACACAGTTCTTTTCTAAGCTGTTTCGGTGATTCTAGGTGATTCCTTGCATTTATGGTCACAGTGTTACTTTTGGTCATTCATCAAATTAATCTTCCAGAATTTAAATAAAATGCCCATGATTGAAACACTCTTATGTGTTATTTAAAAGATATCTATGGAAACTTCCAGGCTTTGTCTCATGAAACATCTCAACTTTTGGTCCATTAAACAGTAACATAAAATCTTTTCTCCTGCAAATAGAATTTTTATTTGAAAAATTTTTTTATTATAAATACATCAGTATTTTTATTAAGTTGAAAAATAATTGAAGGTTAAATCATCTTGGCATTAACTATGATTAGAGTCTCTATAATGTACAGATAATTCTTTCATAAAAATAAGTTCTAGGGAGAAATGTTTTTCTTTACTGAATATCTCAAACGTAATTTCCTAACTTTTAGAATATATTTCTCATCTTTAGTGCTGTCTTTTTCCCAATATGGCATATTCAGTGTTCCACGTGAGATAAGACCGATGCGAACCCCTCAAGGAACAGACTGAAAAGCTGAAGATGTTCAGTGTTAGCCACACTCTCCCCTGCGCCCCATCCCCCACCCAGGGAAGAGTCATGACCTATTTGTACTGGCCTGTGCCAGCTTGATGGAGGGGCTGAAATGGGTATGATGAAATTTCTCTTCTTACCCATCGCAGTGTGGTTGATCTCAAATTTGTGTTTGTCTAGAGGATCTTTTAAAGCATAGAAAAATGTTTCTTTGTTCTTGATAATATGCATGAATTGGGATGGATGCCATTTCTTGTTCATTTAAACAAGCTTGCACACTGGAAACAGTGACACCTATAATAACAAGTACATCAGCCCATGTTTTGCATTTGACAGACACACACACACACACAAATGTAGCCATAATCAATACACAGGGCTAGTATAACTTTACCACTTTACTCAACTAAGCAAACTCAAATGCCTGATTCTTGTGTGTTTTACTTTCATGGCTAATGAGATCCAATTTCGCATAAGTGAATATGAAGTATTGGGAATAATTTTATTTTCTGTTCTTATAAGTATTTCCATTCCCTCAATTTCTGTTACCACCCACACCCATCACATTTTGTTCCCCAAAACAAAATGAGCAGGAACAGTCTGGTAACATCGGTGTGTGTGGCAAGAAACAGCAGTTTTCCTCCGAAGGTTATGGTTTTGAAAATGGTCCATGTAAAGAACAGAGAAAAGTAAGATAAAGGGAGGTAGAAGCTAAGGGAAATATATACATCGGGTTCATGAAATTGAATGAGGTGGGAGAAGAAGAGAGAAGAGAAAGATAAAGACAAACCTATATGGAAATCTTGAGAACTAAGAAGGGTGTTTTAGAGATAGGGTAGTGAGTTTGAGGAAAAAATTAAAAGAAGATTAAAAATATGCAAATTAGTAAAAAGTTGAATTTTAAAATATTTACATAAGTAAAATTTTTGAATTTAAAAATAAGTAAATTACCAAGTAAAACTATTTAACATGTAAAAATTTGGAAGTAAAAATTATAAAGAGAAAATATTACCAATGAAATTTCTCTATCTTCTTCGTTCTTTGTACTCATTTTATTCTGTCTAAAGTGCAGACTGAAAACGTGAACAATTTTGAGATCAGCGTGGCCTAAAAGAGATGAGAAGTGAGTGTT